ACATGGTTTTTGGTCTTCTTCCATCATCTGGAATTCTAGGAAATAGAGGACACGGGTGTTTCTGAAACTGGATCTGTTTCCGTTTTCAGGTGGACCAGTGATTGAGATTAGCTCTTTTTAAGGGGCCCAACTGAGTAGGTGTCTTCCTTTCTCACCTGTAGACAGAAACAGATCCAGTATCCAAAACGTCGTGTCCTCTATTACCTAGAATCCTGGACGATGGAAAAGGTCCAAAAACCCAGTAATTCTGTGTGTCATCCACCACCATCCCCTGAAATGCAGTAGTTGTACAATCTTAAAACTATTCATGTCTCAGCCATCTCATGATAATTTTGGAAGTGTGTGAATTTCAAATTCAGTTTCAGTCTGTTAATTCTTATTTAGGTGTAAAAAGAAGATTAACAAAATGTCAGAAAACTGATTATGCTGAAGGATTGAACCAAACATAATTAAGTTGAGCTTCATTAGGAAGTGTTTTGGTATATTACCAACACTCTAGGAGAACTGGCTTGATATGCTGATGTACAAGTAGATGATGCTTGAAGTTATTGTCTAGTTCATTTATCCACACTAGTCACATTGTGATGATAGCTGATACAGTAATGAGACTAGGAAGTTTACAGTCTTATGGGATGTGACATCTTGCAGTCTAGTTGGTCACTGTCAGCATTTTGGAGGAACCTGCTGCCTCCATTTTCAGGGTAGAAGGAAACAGTAAGTCAGATTGAAGGAAATGGTATGGATTTTTGGAAAGATGTGAGACTAGGGCCCTGAGTGAATCAGTTGCAGAAACAAAATAAGGAAGCAGTGAACCTTTAAGGAGCACTCGCACATAAGAAACTAAGGCATTTTACAAAGCCTAAATTATGGAGTGTTGTGATCTAGAGGGATAGCTTTGAAATCAGGAAGGGCTGGAAAAAAAATATTTTATTAGAAACTCAAAATAGACGAACCACGGTCAGCATTCAGATCAGTTGTGTCCTTGAGTGCAAGTCACGGCATTTCACTGCTCAGCCAACGTGCTTTGTGGAAATAACACATCTCCTGTCACAGTGTATGATATCTTTTAATTCTGTGAGGTAGTTAGTGATCTGCAATCAGCTGTGCAAATTTGACGTTTCAGTTACACCAGCCTCTTCCTTCAAAATTCACACATTTCATGTCTGATATTTTTCATTGCCAGAAAGCATTTATAGGTGTGATACTGTGAAGACACTGTTTCAGTCTCTACTGATAGGAAGTTGGTTTTATATTGTTAAATGTGGAGCAGGCATCAGATAGCACACTAAATCTGGGTTTATATATGTACCTTAAGGAATAAAAGTTTCAGTGATAGTTGGCTGTATGCAGAAGCTGCAAAGAAGAGCTAGAGTAAAATGTGAATAAATATAACTGATACATGGTGGTTGTGAAAATAGGAGCGATGTGAGGGAAGTAGAGAAATTGTAGGACTGAGGTTGTACATAGAAGTTTTGCCAGTGTAAATTAAATCTCCACCTCCTGAATTTTGGCATAGGGCTATTTTAGGTTCTGCAGTTTTGTGTCAAAGATTGATTGAGCTTCATGTGTTGTTGCAGTAAACATTTTGTTGGCATAATAATTTACGAGGGGGTACCCAAAAGAAACCGCACTTATTTTTTTTTTAACTTATTTATTCAAATTTTAAGCACAAACCTTCAATCCCTTTCAAAGTACTC